TTTAAAGGTTCAGATTTTTTAATAATAAAATCTTATTTTATATAATAGGTTACATGAATAGTAATTAAAGTCAAAATCATATTATATTTTTTTAGGGTTAATTCTTGATTTAGTCCCACAACTTCGAATATTTACCTAATTTTATCATTGACTTTAAAAATTACATATTTTAGTCCCATGATTATTGATTTGCACTATATTTTGTCCTCCGTTATAAAACCCATTACATACATGACTATTAAATTTGATCATTGTGTGATTCTTTTTCTACAATTTGATTAAAAATTACAAAAGGAAAAAATTTAAATATAACAAAATTCATAAAAGATCTAATTTTCAAATTGACCCTCGACTATTGAAATAATGCAGGAAATGGTCCATCAACTATAGAAAGCCAGAGTGCACGAGAGCGGGTAGATGAACCTATGGTTTGTTCGATTACCTGCTAAAGCTGCCGCGAGGTGTCCTTGCCGACGACGAAGCGAAGAGTCTCCTCGGATAAAGAGGAGATGAGCATGGAGAGGATGGCTTTGTCTTGCCGACGCCACGCGAGCTGCTGTGTCGGGAGATCGGAAACCACCGTCGGGGACGCGGGCGATGCTGTCGGAAATGGTGTAGAACCATCAATAAACCCTAGAAGCCCTTGGCCTTCAAGAAACGGAAGCATCTGAGTCCCCCAGAATAGATAATTCCGGGAGGTCAACTTTAACGAAACAAAGTGATGAGCCGATGAGAGGCTACCACTCGCAGGCATCGTAGGAATCTCGGTAACAGTCCATTCAGAGGAACCAAGAACAGAGCCGTCATTAACACCGATATTTTCCATGGAAAAACCTAGCTGATACCAGATGAGAATATATTTTCTGTATTTAATGAATAATGTCTGAGAGTACTGGGAGCGAATATATAGAGATGCTAGATAGAATCCTAGTCTAACACGAATAATATAGTCCTAGTCTAATATGAATAATAGAGTCCTAATAGTTATAATTTGTGGTGTTCGAATAACCTAATTAACATACAATTAAATAAATAAATACAAAACGACTCTAATATATGTCCTATTTTTAGGGTCAGTTTGAAAACCCAGAAAATGAATTTTGAAAGTCATTTTCTGGATTTTTCAGTGTGTGGGTACTCAAAGAAAATAAAGTCAAAAGAAAAGTATTCATTCTAGTCAACAGAAAAAACTCATAATTTGCGGAAAATGTCTTTCTAATTTTCCACGGAAGAAATTTTTGGATTCTTTATTTTCTATTTTTCTCTTCGCTCTCTTCTTTTTTATGTTAGTTTTTGTCTTATTATTATTACCACCAACACCACCACAGAACCACACCACCACTGGACCAACACCAACACCACACCACTACCACCACCAACACCAACACCACCACCAACACTACATCACCACTACCACAACCATCACCACTAACACCACCACCACAAACACTAATACCACCACCACAAGTTCACAACCACTACCAAACCATCATTACCACCACCACCACTACCACACAACCACCATTACTACACAACAACAACAATAACAACCACCACCACTACCACTATCACACCACCACCACCACTAACACCACCATCACCACCACCACTACCGCCAACACCAACACCACCACCTTTAGCCCCACTACCACACCACCACCACCATCGCCACTGCCACCATCATCGCGACCACCACCACTGTTAAGTGTTGAAATAGAAGAATAGTGTATGTATTCATCGTATTGTTGTACAAGAAGAAGCCCTATAACACTCCCTCTCAAGCTGGAGCATAGATGTCAATCATGCCCAACTTGTTACAAATACACTCAACCCTGGCTCTACTAAGATTTTGTAAGCAGATCTAATAGCTCATCACCAGTTCGAACATGAACAGTAAAAAGTAGCCATTGTTGAATCTTATCTCGCAAAAAGTGACAATCTACGTCAATATGTTTGTCTCATAAAAGATAGGATTATTTGAAATGTGTATAACAACTTTATTGACACATTACAAAGGAACTGGTTTATTCACCTCTACGACAATCTCCCCAAGAACATTACACAACCACGTCACCTTATAGGCCACATGGGCCATTGCTCTATACTCAGATTCTGCACTAGAGCGAGACACACCAAATTGCTTCTTACTCTTCCACGATACTAGATTGCCCCCAAGGAACACACAATATCCTGTTGTCAACCTCCTGTCACTAGGTGACCAAGCCCAATCAACGTCAGAAAAGGCTTCAGCACTCACATGCTATAATTTTGTGCATAACCTTTAGCAACCATAATTCTCTGTATAATCAACTCCATATGTCTATGCATACCCCTTAGCCACCAAGCGCGATTTAAGCCGAGCAACTAACCTATCGGAGTTTGTCTTGACAACGTAAACCCACTTACACAGAATCAACATCAAATAAGGCCTCAACACTCACATGCCCATGATTGGCATACAAAATTCCTTTCCATGAGCTTTCTTCAAATACTTTGCAAATTGAACTGCAACTTCCCAATGAGATTTTGTAGAAGATGCCATGAACTGACTCACCACATATACAAGAAAGGCAATATTCAGACGAGTGATAGTAAGGTAATTTAGCTTTCCCACTAATCTCCTATACTGCTCTAGATCTTCAAGAGGCTTCCCCTCACCAAATGCATGCTTAACACTCTAGTCCATAGGAGTCTCACAATGCTTCGACCCTAAGAGCCCAGATTCTTCAAGTAAATGTTGGAAAAATAGCATTAAAATGATATTTTGAGTGATTATTTTGTGGTACAAATATATGTGGGATCCACTTCCGATTTGGGTCGGGTTAATGTGGATTCGGGTTCTTCGTAGTGAGACGAAGAATTTGATATAATGTACGCTCAAAATGGGTAATAGGTGAATGAGAAATTGATTCTCAAAGTGAACCTATTTGAGAGAAGTCAAAATTTAAGATTAATGCTAATCAAGAATTAGCATTAGATTCGTGCTACTTATGTTTCGTTGTAGCACTTTCGTGTTGTGCCAATCAGGCATGCTAGTATTTAAATTATTAAAACACTATGCATGTGCTGGCAGCACATCACGTGCAACTTAAATTTGATAAGCTTTGAAAGCTTAATTATGGAAATTGGGGTGATGCATTATGCATGAACGAAAGCTTGCATGGACGAAAGTTATGCAATTAAAACATTGAAAGCTTAATTAGTGAATTAAGCTTTTGAGCTCCTTTCGTGTGAGCTACTTTCGTGCTGAGCACGAGTCAATGCTATATGCATTGATTTGTACCACACTGTTTCGGTACTTTGCGGACCATTCAGGTGTGGTTTTCGGTCCCAATTCGTTAACTTTTCGGCTTTGTACGGACTTCTCGGTCACTCAGATATTTGAAACGGGTCGTTATGGTCGGTACGAATTAATCGGATATTAAGTTCGTGACTGTTGATATTATTTCGATAATAAGTACGACCGTTTCAAACGTTATAATTCAATTTTTAAATTGAATTTATGTTGGTTAATGTGTCATGATGATGCTATTTAGTACCAATCTCCTATATAAAGATGCGGTGGGAGCAACCTTTTTGAAAACAATGTTAGAAAGGAAGTGAACGTGAGGGAAGAACAAGAGAGACACAACACACAAAGATAAGCACATTTTATTCTCAAAACTCTACTCCTACTTCTTTCTAGCTACTGTGTTTTGCCCGTGCTCTAGTTCGCCGGGTTCGTTCGTTTGGGTGCTCAAACGTCGAACCGTTGTACGTTTTATCCTGGGAAACCTAGGCCACAACGCTCCTAGCACTTTTGGGAGGTGGCAAATAAGGTTTTAAGGAAAGACAGGCACTTTGCCTAACTCGTACATTTCTTTCTTTCTTCTTCTTTCTTGTTTTGGATTATGCTCTAAGCAAAAATCCGTTCTTTCTTGTTGTTTTGGAATTATAATCTAAGGATTATATTTTTTTTTGTTGATATATATTGGTATATCTTTTTCGTAGATATACATGTATATATAACCGTTAGGTCCGTTTTATATATATTTGTGTGTATATATATATTTCGGATATATATCTAATAATATTTTATATATATTTCGTGTGTATATATATAAATATTATTTTACGGATATTAAATCGATTGTGGTTCATTATCTCCAACAGTAAATCTAGCACATATTTCCGTTGTGAAAGAAATATGCCTCTCTAAGAACGAACAACCTCAATCTCAAGGAAGTACTTCAACACTCCCAGATCTTTCGTATGGAACTTCTCTTTAAGAAAAGATTTGAACGCATCAATTCCCCTTTCATCATCACCCGTGATCACTATATCATCAACATAGTAACAAAACACTGCCACGGTTAAAATGTTTATAAAAAAAATAGTGTGATCATAGGCACTACGTTGCATGCCAAACTGAGTAACTACAATACTGAATTAATCTCCCAAACCATGCTCTAGGAGACTGTTTTAACCCATACAAAGACTTCTTCAGCTTACGAACCTCCACGTTCTCCCCCTAAGCAACAAACCCAGGTAGTTGCTCCATATACACTTCTTCTGCCAAATCACAATGTAGAAAGGCATTTTTGACATCTAACTAGTATAACAGTCAACCATCAATAGCAGCTGGAGACACAAAAATCCACGCAAAAGTTAACTTAAATATGGAGGAAAGGGTCTCTGTATAATCAACTCCATAAGTATGTGCATACCCTTTAGCCACCAAGCGCGCTTTAAGCTGAGCAACTGACCCATCAGGGTTTTTCTTGACAACGTAAACCCATTTACACCCAATTGCAGACTTCCCAATTGGGAGATGGACAAGATCCCAAGTCTAATTCTCTTCAACGGATACCATTTCTTCCTCCATAGCAAATCGCCACCCATCAAGAGACATAGCCCGGCACAATGATTTAGGAACATACACATAATCCAATTGGGATATAAAGGTACGAGAAGAATCTAACAAATTCTCGTAAGAAACAAATGAAGAAAAGGGAAGACAGCAACTACGTTTACCTTTCCGTAGGGCAATCAGAAGATCAAGATCATTTGACAGAAGTTGTGGTAGGGGAGGTGTATTCACCTGTGCAACTGTTGGCGCGACTATCTCCTGGGGTCGCCTAGAATACACTTGTGTAATGGGAGCAGGGTTGCAAAACTCGGCCGCCTAATCGCCTAGGCGCCCGCCTAGGCGCTAGGCGGCACAAAGCCTTGCCGTTTTGGCCTAAAGGCAGCCAAAACTCGGCCGGCCGTGTAGGCAGCGGCCTGGGCGGCCTACTCGGCCGAGTTTGGCCCAGTCGGCCGAGTTAATTCAATTTTTTTTAATTGGATTTTTCGCTCAAAATGATGTCGTTTTGAGCGGAAAAAAAAAAAACCCAATTAAAAAAATTGAATTTTAATTTTGATTTCTAAAATTCTAATTCAGTAACTCCTAACCTTAACTCCAAATTTCTAAAGAGTAAAGACCGAGAGACTGCGAGATGGGAGACTGCGAGCCGAGAGCCCGAGACTCCATTGAACTGATCGAAACTGTCTGGTGGTGGACCTCCATCGAAGCCTCGTCGCCGTCGAAGCTCTAGCTCTAGCCTTCCCTCGCCGTCACCGTCGTCTGTAACTCTGTAAGTTCACAAATTTCAATTTGTTTCTATGCCACTTTTTTCTTTGTCATTCTTTTGTATTCTTATGACTTATCCTATGATTCCTATCACAAAGAAGCACCCTGCAATGAGAGTCAGTACCGTTGAAAAATGAAAACATGTGTTCAGTACTTCAGTTGAATTTTGCAGTTTTTGCTACTGTCATTTTTAGTGTATTCTTAGTCTACTTTCTACTTTTCTAGTTTTCTGGTACTACTTTCTAGTGCAAATTGCAAAATGATTTTTTTTTTGTGAGATTTGGAATACTTTGGCAGTTTGGCATCAAACAGTACGCAGTAGGCACTTAGGCAGTGTTGGAAAATTTTCATTTTTTTAGACTTTTTGAACATGGTGAATTTTAGATTATAAACTTGTTTATTGTATATGTGAAATTGTGAATTGAATTATACATTTATTGTGTATGATTTTTAGTTATAATGGCTTCATCAAGTGCTTCGGCTACTCAAAGTGTTGGAACTTCTGAAGCATCCACACTTAGGAGATCAAATGATGTAGGGTGGGAATATGGTATTTTAGTTGATGGGAAAATTTTGGATAAAGTGAAATGCTTGTTGTGCAGGAAAGTTTTATCCGGTGGAGTGCATTGAATAAAAGAGCATATTGCTCATATACAAGGAAATGGTGTTCCATGTTCTAAAGATACTAAAGATGATCAACTTAAGTGTAGAAATGCAATCAATGAAGCCAAGATGAGAAGGAAAAAAAAATTAATGAAGATTATTTAAGAGCCGATGTGAATATTGATGGTAGAAGTGAGTCAATTGATGTTGAGGACTTGCAAGGGTCTCTTGGATCTATGAAGCCACCACGTTCACTTGGCCCAATGGATAAGTTTGCAAGTGGTATCAATCTCGAACCTTTCATAAATTTAGGAAAGACATTGCAACAACAACGTATTGATGGCACAATATGGAAGGAAAGGACAAATAAAGTAAAAGAATATATATGTAGATGGGCATATGAGGCCGCTATTCCTTTTCATGCATTTGAAAAAGATAGATTTAAGATGATGTTAGAAGCAGCTGGACAATTCGGTCCCGGAGTTGAATCACCAAGTAGATATGAGATGAGTGAAACATTCTTGGAAAAAGAAGTTGATAAAGTTCGTGAGTCTTTAAAGATAAATGAAGAGGAGTGTAAGCTAAATGGGTGCTCAATCATGACGGATGCTTGGACCGATAGAAAGAGAAGAAGTGTAATGAATTTGTGTTCACTTGATTCACACACAAGTAAAATATATTTATGAGTTTGTTGAGCATGGCATTGAACAAGTTGGAGTTGAAACTGTTGTTCAAGTTGTCACGGATAATGCCTCAAACAACATGGGAGCTTCAAAGTTGTTGAAAGAGAAGAGGCAAACCATCTTTTGGACTTCTTGTGCCACCCACATGATAAATCTAATGCTTTAAAGCATTGGAAATCTCCCGAGGTACAAGAAAGTCCTTGATCAAGCAAAGGCTTTAACGATCTTTATTTATACTCATCACAAGACTTTGGCAATGATGAGAACTTTCACAAAGAAGAGAGATATAGTGAGGCCCGGTGTGACTAGATTTGCATCTTCATTCCTCACTTTGCAAAGTTTAGTCGAGAAGAAGATTGAATTAAGGGCAATGTTTTCTGGCAATGAATGGGGGGCATGTAAATTTTCCAAGATAGCTAAAGGGAAGGTAGCACACACAACCGTAACAAGTTTGGGATTGGCAAGGTGTAACGGCATGTTTGAAGGTTTTTGCACCATTGGTGAGAGTACTTCGACTTGTTGATTGTGATAGCAAGCCATCAATGGGGTTTGTATATGGTGAGCTTATGAGAGAAAAGAGGAAATCAAACATGATTTGTCCGATGTCTCAAGGAACTATAAATCGATTATTGACATTATTGAAGAAAAAATGAAAGATAGGCTTGACTCTCCTCTTCATTTGATGGCATATTTGTTGAATCCTTATTACCATTATAAGGATCCACGACTTCATTTGGACGAAGTTGTAGGTGTTGGAGTTGTTGATTTTTGTGATATTCTATTCGTCAATGATTTTTACATGCAAAATAAGATTTTAAGTGAAGAATTGCCAAAATATAAGAAGGAGGGGATGTTTGGAAGAAGTATCGCAATCAAAGCATGTGAGGTGAATGATGACAACTTTAATCCCGGTAAGTCATTCTTTATTCTTTAATACTTTATTGTTTACTTAATTATATTTATTTATATTTATTAATTATTATGAACTTTGTTTTGTAGCAAATTGGTGGTCAACTTTTTTGGTACCTCAGCCCCTTTATTGAGAAGAATAGCCATAAAGATTCTTTCTTTAACATCTAGTTCTTCGGGGTGTGAAAGAAATTGGAGCACGTTTGAAGGGGTTAGTAACTTAATATGATATTTTATTTAGTTTGTTATCAACTTGGCATGTTAATATAAAATATAAATATGAATTACGATACTTAATACTTTGTTAATCATTATTTAAACTTTTGAATATTTTTATTACTTGAATTATAGATACATACAAAGAAGAGAAATAGGCTTGAAGTAAATCGTCTCAACAATTTAGTTTTTGTCCAATTTAATGCTACTTTGATGAACAAGAACAAGCAAGATAAAAATATTTAAAAGTTGGTTGGTAATGATGCAAGTTTAATACAAGATTGGATTGTGGAAAATATTGAGAATGATGAGACTGAGCCGGGATTGGATTGCAACGTAACAATAATGCTATGGAAGTGGATGAAGCATTACAACCCTGTAGAAGTGCAAGATTGAGGGATCTTGATGAAGATAACTTTGAATCGGAAGGGGAAAGTGAGGAGGAAATAAATGAAGTGGAGTTTGAAGATGCTGGGCAACATGTTATTGAGCAATATGGACAAGATGAAGAAATTGGCAATGATTCTATTCAATCATGAATCCCTTTGGATTTCAAAACTTTAAAATTTGGACTTGAATGTTGAAATTTTGTGGAATGTTAATTATGTTGTAACTTGTAAGTTTAAACAATGATACTTGGATGTTGTTTCACTTGTTTCATTACTCATTACTTCATTAGTTGGATGATTAAATGTGGTATTGATGTTTAAGTAATTGAGTGTTTGACTTGTTTAGTTGTTTGAAGGAATGTATGATAGTTTTATTATTTGGACGTGCTATTTGATTGAATGTTGAAAACAGCTTCATTAAAATTGTCAAACTGCAAGTCTGCTACTGTTTTTAAATTTTTTTTAGAGCCCGCCTAGGCACTAGGCGCTGCCCGGGCGCCCGACTAGCGCCTAGCGCCTACTGCAACCTTGAATGGGAGGTATTACTCTAGAAATAGATTCCATTGTGGGTACAAGAATAGTGATAGTATATGTAAGTAAATCATCTTCTATCACTAGAGACCTACCCCGGAAATACTATCAGAGAACACAGTTTTCTCAAAAAAAGTGACATCAATTGAAACAAATATCTACCCAAATCAGGAGAGTAACACATATACACAAAAAGTGACATCAATTGAAACAAATATCTACCCAAATCAGGAGAGTAACACATATACACTTTTTGAGTCTGAGAATACCCCAGGAAGATACACTTAAGAGATTTAGGATCAAGCTTTCCCCTTAGTGGACGAACATCCTGTATAAAGCACGTACAACAAAAAACCTTGGGGGATAGGAAAAACAAAGGCTTGGAGGGATACGCAACTGAATACGGGATTTGACTATGGAGTACAGAATAAGGCATCATGTTAATAAAGAAGCAAGCAGTGTGAACAACATCTGTCCAAAATACTTTAGGTATTTTCATCTGGAACAATTGAACACAGGCAATCTCTAACAAATAGTGGTTCTTTCTTTCTGCGACACCATTTTGTTGGGGGTGTAACCACAAGAAGTTTGATGTATGATACCATTTTGACTTATAAAGCTGCAAAAAGACTTAAGAAATATTCTTGAGCATTATCACTTCTCAAACACTATATAGTCTTATTAAATTGAGTTTTAATTTCAACACAAAATTTTCGAAAGACGTCAAACAATTCACCCCTAGACTTCATGAGATACAACCAAGTACATCTAGAGAAGTCATTAACAATGGTTACAAAATATTGGAAACCATTTTTGGACGTAACCTGACATGGACCCCAAACATCATAATGAACGAATTCAAATAAGGAGTCTACTATATTATTTACCGGAGAAATAGGGAACACGATGATGTTTTGCAAACTCACATGACTCACACTGCAAAACAGTCAAAAACTCTAAACCATGAGACATCTTCTGTAACGTTGGTAAAGACGGTGACCAAATCGATAGTGCAACTGAAAGGGGGAAACACTGCTCACCAAACCCGTAGATTTGTTCTCGAGTGATGTAGAATTCTCTAAGACATACAGATTGTCAACCTCCTTCCCATTACTAATAATCCTCCTTGTCGAAAGATCCCAGAACAGACAATAGCTAGGGAAAAACATAATAGAACATTAGAACAATTCAAGTCACGAGTTAT